CGATGAGCTCTGGAAATTCAGATTCCTTTTCCTCTTACTATCACCTCCGGCAACACCCAAATCCAGTAAAAAAAAAAACAGAATCAACCAAGCAAAAGGAAAATAAAATCCTCCCCTAGACCTTTGCCTTTTGCTCTATATATACACCCAAAATGACAAAATAAAAATAAAAATGCAACCACAAAAGACAGGGGCCTTGCTTTGTCAATCAATGATGCCAATTTTGTCCGGTATTGGCTGTTTTTTTTGTATGGATGTAGTGTGCAGAAGGCAGGGGCAATGGAATTGGGCGCAGAGCAAGGCCAGTGCAGGAAGCAAGGCCGGGCGGCAAGGGCAGGGCTCGGTGCAGCAAAAGGGGGGGGGGGGTATGAAGGCTCGGGCATGTAGGGCATGATTGCCGGTGATGGCTAGTGCAGAGTGCAGGCGGTTCGGGTGCAGAAAGGGGCAGGATATTTGGCGCAGAAGGCATGGGATTTGGGCGCAGAAGCAGGGGAGGTGCAGGAGCATGATGGCTGGCAGTGAGGGGGTGATGATGGCTAGTTCGGTGCAGGGCAGAGCAAAGGGGATCTGGGCTGCAGAAAGAAGAGGAGGCTAATTCGGTGTAGAGGGAGGCGGAGGTTGATTCGGTGCAGAGGGCGGTAGGGGCACAGGCTCGGTGAGAAGGGGGGGTTAGGGCATGGTGATGGCTGGGCATGTGGTTGCCGACTGGTTTGGGGGAGGGAAGGAAAGGAGAAAACCGGGGGGTAGGAGGAAGAGGGTTCCAGAAATCTGTTTTTTTATTTCCCTTTTTTTTTTATGGGTTAAATGGGTTTTGGGTTTTGTTTTGGGTTTGGGTTTTGGGTTTTGTTTTGGTGGGCTTTGGGTTTGGGTAATTGTGGGTTTTGGATTTAGGTAATTGTGGGTTTCGGGTTTTGGTGGGTTTTTGGTTTTTTTTTTTTGGGTTTAACTTTGCATTTCACCCCTCTAACTTTCAATTTCTTCGATTGAGTCCTTTCTCTCATCTTCTTTTCCAATCTTTTTCGTAAAATTTCCTTTTTGCCCCCTATTTTTTTTCGAACATAACAAGTAAAATAAAGACAAAATATATTAGTTAAAAGAAAATAAACTTCTATTAAATTTTGAGTTATGACAGTTGCCACCTTTTTCTTTATTTTTTTCTTTTCTGTCAAGAATGAAAAGAAAAGACAAGAATAACTCAAATTTTTTTTTTTTTTTTTCAACTAAATAGATAAAGTAAAACTGGTCGAATGACCGAACAAGTAAAGTAAAAATGGTTTTATAACCGCAAAAATTGGATGACTGGACAAGTAAAAATTATTAGAAAACTGCAATGATCGGATTAACTGAATGAATGGAATAAAACGACTAAAAAGCCACAACGATCGGATTGACCGAACAATGAGAGAAGACGGTTAGAAAATCGCAACGATCGGATTAACCGAACGAATGAGATAAAACGGTTAGAAAACTACAACGATCAAATTGACTAAATGAATGAGAGGAGACAGTTAGAAAACCGCAACGATCGGATTAACCGAACGAATGAGATAAAACGACTAAAAAACGGCAATGATCGGATTCACAGAACGAATGAGATAAAACAACTAAAAAGTTGCAACGATCGGATTGACCGAACGAATGTGATAAAATGGCTAGAAAACCGCAACGATCGGACTGATAGAACAACTGAGAGAAGATGGTTAGAAAACCACAACGATCGGATTTGTTGACTCAATGTACTCCAAGAGGGGGGGTGAATTGGAGTTCCAAAATTCTCCCCTTTTTGCAACCACAAAACCAAAATTAAAGAGAGTAAAGAAGAAGAGCTTGCTCAATGATTTATAGAGGTTTGGTCCAACCACTTGGAGCCTAATCCTTTACCTTGGCTTCACTCACCAAGGATTTCCTCCACACTCTCCACTAACAACAACAAGGGTGGCTTAAAGGAGCCACTCAATCCTTTTACAAGAATAAGGGTGTTTCTCTCAAATCTCACCCTTTTACAAGATAAACCCAAACAATCCTCTCTACAAATCACTTTTGAAGGAATAGTCACACCCCCAAGATTACTCACAAATAGAACAAGAAGAGGATTACAAATAAAGATCTCTCAAAGATCAAAATCTCAAGTTAAAGCACAAGTTGGTAGGTAAAGATATTCAATACAATACTCTCTAAAACTTCTTCAGATTTTCTACTAACCATATTTATAACCTCATGGTCGAAAATAGCCGTTACTGGCCGTTGGGGGTCATTTAATGCTCTGCAGGTCACTTAATTCGAGTTGCAGAATTGTAAGTAGAGCCGGCTTACACTTCTAGAGCCGGCTCTGTACAATTGGCTCACCATTTCTAAAGCCGGCTCTGCGGGTTTCCTGCATTCTGTTTTCTCCGTAGAGCCAGCTCAAAAATTTTGCAGCCGGCTTTGCGGGATTCTTGCACATTTTGTTTTCTTCCACGCCGGCTGCAAAGCCTAGAGCCGGCTTTGGGATTCCAACTTTAAACACATTAAATAATCTTCAAATAACTCGATCGTTGTGCATTAAATGCACCCTCACAGCCGGCTGCAAAGTTGGAGTCGGCTTTACGTCTTTGCTCCGCACGCGCCAAACAACGATCCTATAAATCTTTACCTGTAGAGCCGGCTACAGCTTCCAGAGCCAGCTCTCTGCACATTTTCAAGCCTTTTGGTCTATTTTTAGTGCAGTCCAAGTTTACTTATTTTGCAATCTTTTGACATTTTAGCTACACACTTAAATGAACTAATTAATCACTCAAATGTGTTTTGTAATCATCAAAATCATAGGTACAATAATCTCCCCCTTTTTGATGATGACAAAACACTTTGAAAATAAATTAATGAAAGCACATATATATTTCAATGAAAGCTCATATGGAAACAGACATCTCAGCATACTTTCTCCCCCTTTTTGTCATCCATCAAAAAGAAAATAAGCTTAATCAACAAACTCCCCCTTAATTCATGTATACAACCTTTAAAGCATCAAAAATATGTGATTTAAGCACAATATCCACAAATTGCTCCCCCTCAATGAAAGCACTTAAGATCATAAATATCAAAATCATAGGCAATCAAAAGGTCATATACAATTAAAATCCACAATTCATGATAATAAGCTAAGAAATGTGCATAGATAATGAGGGCAAATTTTGGGAGAGAATCAAATCTTGAATGTGAAGAGAGGAAAATGGCCAAATATTAAAAATCTATCACAATCAAGAGGTTTTGTAGTACACAAAGATATCTCATTCCAAGCAACTATAAAGGTAAAAAAATTCTCTCTTTTTTGTTATCCAACAAAAAAGTTTGAAGACCATATAAAGAGCAAACAATAGAGCTCCCCCTTAATAAAATGACTCATGAAAACATGAACATACTTATATAACAATCTCATTAGTAGCACCAAAAACAATGTTAATGCCATCATTAAGTACATGTATATTTCTTACCCTTGAGATATGTAATCATTTATCACATTACCTTTATAAGATCTCTCTTTTGGGTAGAATTATAACCTTTGTTTTTGTGCTTGTTGCATCTTCTCAATCTTGTTCTTTTCACTTGCTTCATATGGAGGTTGTGTGATGTTATTACCTTCAATGTTCATTCTTATCTTTGTTACCCAATAACATCTACATCACAATTTCATAACTCCTTCTAGAGCAAATGGGGTTAGTCTCATTGAATACCATATGAATAGATTCAACACTATTACTCCTTTTTATATGCATCGTATCATATGATAGCAAATATCAAAAATTTTATTCATTGAAATCAACCATGACTATGCAAGCATTCAAGTGCATGACATATACTTGCACATAATCAAATATCATCAAAATCATCCATCAAAAAGCAAACATACAAATTTCCTAATATACTTAACTTTCAAGTGTAAGACTCTTCCTACGATCATGCTTAACTTCCAAGTGCTATCATTAAAATTATGAAAATAATGAGACAAGTAAATTTGAATGAGACAAACAATGTAAAGTAAGATAAGTTATTAAAATTACTCATTTAAATCAAATCATCAACCATCTTCAAAGTGACACATATGACATTGAAAATCACTTATACCATCAAGAGCTCATTACGAACTATATATGATAGATAATCAATCTAATCATTCACATATGTCAAGTATGTAAATATGATACAAGTAATATCTATAACAATCAACAAGGTTGTATCAACACTAGAAAAGACACATCAAATGAAATCATACTCAACAAGCATATGTATCAAAGAGTGAGCACACATAAACAAATAATTAATAGTCATGTTAATGTAATTATACTCAATGAATAAATGCAATAAGATAAATAATACCAATTGAGCACATGAGTGGAGCATTCAAAAACAAATTTTCTTTGCACTTTCACTCCAACATTATTGGTGAGGCATAAGTCTTTATCAAGATCAACTTCACTCTTCTTATGACTTTGCCATCAACTTTACCTACAAAACAAAATTAAGTTTTGATTTTTGGTACCCAAATTTGCTTGGGTCCATGGGGATTAGTGCTTAAAGTTCCTTTTGGAACCCAAATTTGCTTCACTTTACCTTGAGTTATCAATCTCTTCAAAGAACATACGTAAGCAAAGTGTCCATTTACACCACAACAATAGCAAGTAACATTAGGATGATAGGATTGACTTGCTCTTACAAAAGAATTCTTAAAAATCTTTTGCTTTTTAGAATAATCAAATCCAATGCCCCCTTTGTCATAAATACTTCTTTGAGATTTTAAGATAGAATCAAATTTTTCTTTACTCAAGGTAAATTTGGAAATCACATTCTCAAGATCACAAGCTTTTCTCTTTAAAACCTCATTTTCCTTCTCTAAATCCTCATTTTCCTTCTTTGCATCCTCATTTTCCTTTTTCAAAGCATTACTAGACTCCTCATTCTTTAAAGATGCAATTTCACCATTTAAAGAGGCATTTTCTTTAACTAAAATCTCATTTTGTTTTGAAAGAGATACAATTTCACTTTTAAGCAATGAGATGGTTTTAGTAAGAGCAAGATTCTTATTTCCTAGTTTCTTGATATCATTCATAGAGCAATCAAGAACTTTGCATAAATCATCATAAGAATACTCAAAAGAACTTTCATTAATTGAACTAGAGAAGTTAGAGTTTACCTCCTCATCATTGTTGCTATCCTCTTGAGCCATGAAGCAAGGATTTGCAACACCATTCTCCAAGGAGTTTTCACTTTCTGTTGAACTAGCCTCATCATCACTCCAAGTGGCCGCAAAGGCTTTCTTCTTCATGCTCTTCTTGTTTTTCCTTTCACCCTTCTTCAATTGAGGGCATTCATTTCTATAATGCCCCATCTTGTTGCACTCATAGCATTTGATATGCTTCTTGCTTGGCTTTCCTCTATCATCATCATCACTATATATTCTTCCTCTAGAATAGTGAATTTCCTTGTTTCTTCTAGAGGATGTCCCTTTGAGGCTCCTCTTCATGTATTTCTTCACTTCCTTTGAAACCAATTTGGTGATGTCCTCCTCATTGCTAGACTCATCATTACTAGCATCATCTTCACTCTCTTCC